GGGGTGGAGGGCTCCCCACGGCTGACCCCGCTCCCAGCTGTGTCGCTGGCGGGAGACCTAGGGTCCCCCGCGGACTGGCGGATCCCTCCCTCGCCGGTGCAGGTGCCACAGCGGGGTTTTCTGTGCCTCCACTGTGGTCAGTCCCAGCCTTGACTTGCCCCCCATTCCTGCCTTTTCCCAAGAGAAAGAATAAATGTCACAGAGATGCTCCTCTGACCGCCACCCCACGGCACAGCGGCTGGGGTGCCCACTCCTCCCTCCACCCCAGACCAGAGGCCTTGCTGGCTAGGCAGGAGTGAGCAGAGGGTACTCTATAGTGTAGGGATAGGGGGTGACCACAGAGTGCTAAGTAGGTGCTAGGGTGCAGACAGCAGATGCGCAGTGTTTACCATGGAGCTGAGAAGGTGCTCTGACCTTCTGGTCTAGTCTAGTTCTGGGACCCGGGGCTGGTCCTCACCCTTCTTCAGACCTCCATTTTTATCACCAGAAGGAGTGCCACAATGAGCATCTGATAGGTGCCGGGTACTTGCAGCCCCATAAGGTCACACCCCTCTCTTCACATTTTGCACAGGCAGAGACTGCAGCTGGGACACTACCCGATTTCTGCAAGCACGCACCGCAGTTGGCATTGGAACCCAGGCTGGTCCGACCCGACCCCGAGAGCTGTGCTTGATTAAACTATCCTCCCACCAAGGGGTGCCTTCACACAGCCCTGGATCCCTGTGGCAGCACCTCCCCAGCCAGAGAACAATATCTCTTCAAAAGCAGGAGGGGGGAGGGGCTCTAGGCCCCACGCCCATTTTAGCCTGGGTGAATGCGTGAGCAGTGATTGAACTAATGGCTCTAAAGTGCAGGGTGCTTTGGAGACGTGGCAGCCAGCCACAGTTAATAAAAAGGCTTTGATGACCCTATATCATCCTGGCGACATCAATATGCTTCCTGTCCTCACACACCCTTCTGATCTTAGGGGCAGAGTGGTGCCTGTGCCCACCGCTTTCTCCTTCATGAGAAGACCTCTGGGACACAAGGCAGCTAGGGAAGCCCCACACTACCCCGAGACATTATCTGAAGTCCCATTCATAGACACAAGACTGAGGAGAGAGGCTTGGAGCCCGGTCTCAGGACCCCTGACATGGAGGGGCCACCCTTCTGTCCAAACATCCCCCCATCCCACTATCTGAAATTCCACCACTAGTAGCATTTCTTTGTCTTAGGGTTTCCCAGAGGCCCAAAGAGCTACCTTTTCGGAAAAAGAACCCTAACTACAGTTATCCCACAGAAGGTCTTCGAGCTCTTCTTCCCCATTCCCTGGCTTTTAGGTTAAGAAACTGAGGTACAAAGATGGAAGAGCTTGTAGCAAATTCACAGCGAATCAAAAGCAGCCACAGAGTAGCCTTGCTGTCCTAACCCACACCAGGACTCCTACCCTTCCCCCCAAGTTTCTGCCTGGTCACCTTGGAAGAGGTGAGATGGGAGGGAGCACAGGGGTTCTCAGTGAGCTGCAGAATCTTAGCGCCCATCCCCTCTGCACCCCCAGACCCACCCCACCGGGCCGACTGAACCTCCCCAGCCCCACCTGTGTCCTCGGCCACGTACCTTGTCCTGGGGACGCGCTTCAGCTGGGACCTGTCCTGTCCGGGACAGGAGCTGGAGCCAGAGCACCCTCCCTCCCTTTCCTTTTTCTTTTTCTCTTTCTCTTTCTTTCTTGGCAGCTGCTGCCTGCCTAGCCCTGCCGGCCCGCCCCACCAGCTGCAACTTGGTCCCTAGGGACCCCCGCCCCTCCCCCCAGACAACCAAGGGGCCTGCGGGAGCAACTGGAGCCTCCACAACGCTCCATCACGGGAGTCAGCAGGAAGGAGAGGGGTCAGTTAGAGGTCACAGAATCCACTCTTATCCCAGCTGAGGGGAAAGGAGGGAGAGGGTCCTGAGGGGTCTGGCCTCTACTCCAGCGCTCGGGTGGGGTGGGGGGGCGCTCTGCGCCACCTGCTGGCTCTTCTAGGTAAAACCCCAGGCAGATGTAGGGCATTGGGAGGGGGAGATGGCAGTGATTGATAATTTGAGAGGGAAGAGGAAAGGCGGCTGGAGGAGGGGACGTGGAGCAGTGGGAGGATTTGGGAAGTTGTAGCTGTACGATGCAGCCTTCCCAGGCCTCATAATGCATGGGGTGCTTGGGGACTAGCTCAATTCTGAAAGAAGCCCTGACGCCTGGAGCCTGGCATCCAGTGGGAGCTCGGCTGGGGACAGGAAGAGCCGGGAAGGTTTAGAGGCACAGCAGGCAAGCCTGGAAGGGGGCGTCAGCCTGAGTTAGGTTATGGACACCATCTGTACTCCAGCTGTTAGCACACGGCCTACATGCACTAGATGCTCAGTAAATGTTTGTTGACTGTACCAAATAAATTCATTCTTCCAACATATATTTACTGGGCAAGCTATTATGCACCAGGCTCTGAGTGACATTCTGTGAATACAGCAGTGCAAGTGAATGCATGGATAGGGACCTGGGTGTGCTAAACCGTGATCCTCTGTCCTGCTTTGCTGTGCTCACTGAGGACTTCAGAGAATCTCCTGTGGGGCTGGCTATCACTTTCACACTGGCTCCCGGTAAAGTCTTCAGCGTCTGGACCCTCTTAAGGTGTCTCAACACCTAACTCAGACAGCAGGTGCCCAAGCTACATACCCAGGTAACCATTTAGAATAGGAAGGTTCCCGGGCATGGTGGTCCATGCCTGTCATCCCAGCACTTGGGAAGCTGAGGCAGGAGGATCACCTCGAGTTCAAGGACAGCCTGGGCTACAAAGCACTCTGTCTCAACCCTCCCCCCCAAAAAAAGAATAGGAAGGCTCTTGTTCAAAGCCTAGAATGGTCATGGCAGCTCACATCTATGGTGCCCCTTAGATAGATACATACCCCCTCACTTCTAAGGCCCCTAGGGCAGGGGCCCAGAGCCCAGGACTTCCCAGAGGAAGGGAGGGCTTCCTGGGAGGGCTCAAGGGGGTTGTTGTTCTGAGGCAGTTGCTGAGCCTGAAACTGAGACCACAGTAGCAGAAGCAATGGGCTGGCACATTCATTCATAAGAAAAAAAACTCCGTGACTCCTCACTACTCTGAGAAATTAGGATTATTGTGCCCATTTTATAGATGAGACAGAGGCTCAAAGAGAAGAAGTGACTAGGGGCTGGGGATTTAGCTCAGTGGTTTCACAGCCTGCTGCGCAAGCGCAAGGACCTGAATTTGATCCCTGGTACCAAAAAAAAAGAAAGAAAAAGTGACTAGTCTGGGGTCATACAGTTGGGAGAGTTGGGAGATACTGGTCTGGCCTGCCTAATCTCAAAAGTTCTCATCAATGGGGCTGGGGAATGGCTCAGTGGTACAGTGCTTGCCTAGCATGCATGAGGTCCTTGATTCAACCCCTAGCACTGTAAGAAAAATACGTGGGTTAAAAAAAAATTTGTTTATTTATTTTTGGTTTTTTGAGGCAAGGTCTTACTATGTATTCATTCTGGCCTTGAACTCACTAGGAAGACCCAGATTGGCCTTGAATTTGTGGTGATCCTCCTGCTTCATCCCTGCACTGGGATTTTAGGTGTGTGCCATCATGCCTGGCAAAAAACGTGTTTTAAAAATACCCATCATAGCCGGGGATTTAGCTCAGTGGTTCTGCCGCCTGCCTCGAAAGCGCAAGATCCCGAGTTCGATCCCTAGTACAAAAAAAATCCAAACAAAACCATCATAGAGGCTGGAGATTTACCTCAGCGGTGCTGCGCCTGCCTCACAAGTGCAAGATCCTGAGTTTGATCCTTAGTACCAGAAAAAAAAAAATACCCATCATGGCCGGGTATGGTGGCGCACACCTGTAATCCCAGCACATGAGAGGCTGAGGCAGGAGGATCAATGCAAGCTCAAGGCCAGCCTGAACTACATAGTGAGACTCTGTCTCAAAAAAACAAAAACAAACAAACCAAAGTTCTGAGAGTCAGGTGAGAACTAGTCAAGAGAGAGGATGGCACAGAGAGCAAAAGGAATCATCAGCCCAAGGCCCAGGCAAGCAGTGTTTATTTGGAGAAGAAGCAGAGGAGGCTAACATGGGGCAGCAGGGAGGAGTTAGAGGCTGTGGCCTGAGACACTGCGAAGAGGAAAAGCAGGACTAGTATTGAAAGACTGTTCCAAGTTTGCAAGAGGATTTGGAAGGTCTTTATTCATTCAACAAATACTTACTGAGCATCTACTGAGTGCCGGGTGCTATGTTAAGTCCTGGGCACATAGATGCAAACAAGATGAGGTACAGAGAGGTGTGAAAAAAAAATGGAGTAATGTGGAGGTGGCTGGATGGTGTGTTGTTAGGTAGTGTGGTCTGAGGCGCCGTCATCTCAACTACGACCTGAACAAGAGAAAGGCAGGTATAACACATCACAGGAAAAGTGCTCCAGTCACCTGGGCAGCAAGTACAAAGGTCCTGGGGCAGGAGTAAGTATGGCATGTTCAGGAAACTGAAAGAAGCCAGAGGAATTGGAGCTTTATGAGCATGATGGAAGAAATGAGATCAGTTGAAGTTGGTTAGCGCAAGGCTCAGGGTAAAGAAGAGTTTAGAATAGTTTCACTTGCCGGGGATTTAGCTCAGTGGTTCTGCTGCCTGCCTCGAAAGCACAAGGACCCGAGTTCTATCCCCAGTACAAAAAAAAAAGAAAA